TCCAGCTCCAGCTCCAGCTCCAGCTCTGATTCAAGCTCCGAAATCGACAAGGACAGCCGTCGACGAAGTCGGAGAAGCGAAAAGGGAAGCGAAGGTGCCGGCGCAGCAACCAAGCCAAATGGGGGCCTAATGAATGCGCCATCAAAAGCTGCTCATGCGTCTGCTGACGATGGTCAAGAAGCGCGTCGGCAAAGGTTCTCGCCCGACCCTTCCGACGAGGAGTCCCAATCGGAGCTATCAAGCGATTCGTCTTGCCGCCTTGCTTCAGACAAACGCACCAACAAATCTTCTCGCCTCGAGAGCAAATTGAGCAAAGTCCCCACAGCACGTCTTCCAAGCTTGATGCAGGCGCAACAGATCAAAGTCGAAGCAGAACAGCGCGCGAATCAGAAATCTGCGCTCGACTCTCAAAGAGGAGAAGAGGAGAAGAAGGGAAAATCGATGGATTCCGAGGAGAGGAGAAACGCTTTCAGGACGTTCTGGTTGGCTGCTGTGACGGAAGAGTTTGGCGAAGAGCTAGAGAATATGAGAAAGGTGAGTAGAGTGCGGTCTAGAGAACGGGGGGTTCAGTTAGCGCTACGAACACGCAGTGAGAGGAATCTCATTGCAGAAGCAGTGAGGAGCCGTTGGCTGCTTTGCGGGATCGGAGTCGAAGGAATGTATGCGCTTACAAGCCGACTCACGCTGTCCTACTTGATGACGACGGCAGAGAGATCCTTCCCTTTCCGAAAGTCTTGGCGGCTCGAGGTTGCCTCTGCTCATCGATGCACTCGCCTCAGGATCGGAACTCTTTAGCACCGGTCAACCTCAATCTACTGCGCATTTGGAGGGCGACAATGCTCTCATGGATGTAGACGAGGTCGGAATGTTACTGAACAACATCGAATGAGAGATTACGCAGTTCTGCTTTCAGTTGACACAAGATTCGATCGTGATCACCTCGATGCAAAGCTCCTCTTTCTGGTCAATAATTTTGGCGCGATGATCGTGCGTACATTGTGCGGGCGTCTGCGCCGGGAGATGTGGGCGATCACAAGATCTCGAGGAGGATGGCGATACCTTGACCGCCGCCAATGCAAGCCGCACCAAGTGCGTACTTTTTGTTGAGCCTCTTTCCATTGTACACCAAGTTGTTGATGATTCTAGCTCCAGAAGCTCCAAGCGGATGTCCGAGGGCGATGGCACCTCCGAATTGATTGGTCTGCTCATTGGGAAGCTCGAGCTCCTTTTGCACAGACAGGAATTGAGCCGCAAAGGCTTCGTTGACCTCGATTGGTCCATCAATCTCTCCGAGGGTCTTGCCGCCGCGTTGAAGGGCAATCTTGATAGCCTCGACAGGTCCGATCTACAAACAATGATGCACCACGAGCGGGGACGAGGCAGCGTCAGAATGGCGCAGACTTCATCGCGCAGTGCGCATGGCATCTTGTTTGCCCTGCCCCTCTACTCACACCCATGATGCTAGGCTCGCAAGCGGTGACACCGTAAGAGACGATTCTGGCCAAAGGCTTGAGGTTGTGTTGCTTGATGGCCTCTTCGCTAGCGACAACATTGGCGGCCGCTCCATCGCAGATACCGCTCGCGTTGCCCGCCGTCACTGTTCCGTCCTTCTTGAAGACAGACGGAAGCTTGGCCAGAGACTCGATCGTCGTCTTTCCCCTGGGGTGCTCATCCACGCTGAATGTCTCTGTCGCCTGTGTGCGGTTGGAAAGAAGAAGGCATCCATCTCAGCTGAGGTGCCTCGCTGACAAAGACGACGAAGACGCTCAGTTGCACTTACGCGCTTGACTTTGACCTCCACAGGAACAATCTCGTCCTTGAATGCGCCGGCCTCTTGAGCGGCTTGCCAGCGTTGCTGACTCTGGAGTGCGAACTGGTCGCACTGCTCGCGCGTAATGCCGTACTTGTTTGCAAGATTCTCGGCGGTGATGCTGAGGGAGGCGCGTACAGGTCAACAAGGCTACTCCCAAAGCAGTCAGAATTTGAGGCGCGCGCTTGACTCACCCTGATGCAGGGTGTCAGTCAAGGTGAACAAGAAGTGCGAAGGCATGGGCAAACGGTAGGATCAGAGGAGCGGGCGTGTCAGTCCATGCAGTACGGAACAAGCTTGATACCAGGCCCGTCTGTGGATGAGGCATTGCCTGTAAAGCTTCCGATG